ATAGAATGAACGTAAAACTAATGTTCTCCCAATAAAACATTAAGGAAAAAAAAAGGTCTTGTGCAGCAGATCTGCCTAATGCAATACGTTGTTTGATCTCTTGACTTCTGCCTCCATGAGTGTTGATAGTTGTCCAAGAAGAATGAAGTCCTTGACAACTTCAATCTCTTCTCCCTTGATAAGAATGTTGTCTATTGGTCCAGTGGTGATGATTTTTGTTTTCTTTACATTGAGATGCACTCCATACCGAAGGTTGTGCTCTTTGATCTTCATCAGTAAGTATTTTAAGTCCTCTTCACTTTCAGCAGGCAAGGTGGTATCATCTGCCTATCGCATGTTGTTAATGAGTCTTCCTCCAATCCTGATGCCACGTTTTTCTTCATAAAACCCAGCTTCTTGGATTATGTGCTCAACATAACAGGTTGAATAAGTATGGTGAAAGAATACAACATTGTCGCACATCTTTCCTAATTTTAAAACCTTCAGTGTTCCCATGCTCTGTTCAAACAACTGCTTCTTGGTCCAGGTACAGATTCCTCATAATTAAGTGTTCCGGAATACTCATACTTCGCAATGTTGTCCGTAGTTTTTCATGATCCACACAATAGAAAGCCTTTATGTAGTTAATAAAGCTCAGGTAAACATCTTTCTGATATTCTCTGCTTTCAGCCAAGACCAGTCGCACATCAGCAATGATATCCCTCGTTCCAGGGCCTCTTCTGAGTCCGGCTTGAACCTCTGGAAGTTCTCTGTCAATGTATGATTGTAGCTGTTTCTGTATTAGCTTTAGAAAAACTTTACTCACATGGGATATCAAAAAGATTGTCCGATGATTTCCGCATTCCATTGGGTCACCTCTCTTTGAAATGGGCACAAATGTGGATCTCTTCCAATCAGTCGGCCAGATAGTTGTCTTCCAAATTTCTTGGCAGAGATGAGTGAGTGCCTCCTGTGCCACCTCACTTTCTTGAAAGATTTCCATTTTTATTCCATCAATTCCTGACGCCTTGTTCTTTGCCAATTCCTTCAATGCACCTTGGACGTCTTCCTTCAGTATCATTGGCTCTACAATTATTGCTATGCCTTCTTAATTTTTTCAAGGCCAAATCCTGATGGAGCAATGTTTTAATGTTCAGCTGCTAACTGAAAGGTAAGCAGTTTGAACCCACCAGCTGTTCCATGAGAGAATATACCTGTCAATATCTAGACCCATGAAAAAAACATTGTTGCCTCTGCCGCTCTCGCTCCCGGGTCCCCGCGCCAGAGACGCAGGAGTTTTCCCATAGTACCCTTGCTCACCTCTCCTCCAGAGTCAGTCCAAGCCGCCACAGCCGCCCAGCCCACCGCCACCCTTCGCAGCCATGGCCACCAGATCTTTATCCTCCTACCGCCGGATATTCAGTGGCTCTGGCACTGCGAGCAGTCCAAGTTCCAACCATAGCTATGTAGCCACATCCACCAGTACCTGCAGCCTGGGCGGCACACTGCGCCCCAGCACCAGCTGCAGCGTCTATGCCTCGTCTCCCGGCGGCGTGTACGCCACGCGCTCCTCGGCCGTGCGCCTGCGGAGCAGCATGCCGGGTATGCGGCTGCTGCAGGATTCTGTGGACTTTTCGTTGGCCGATGCTATCAACACTGAGTTCAAGAATACACGCACCAACGAGAAAGTGGAGCTGCAGGAGCTCAATGACCGCTTCGCCAACTACATCGACCAGGTGCATTTTCTGGAGCAGCAGAACAAGATCCTGCTGGCCGAGCTCGAACAACTCAAGGGCCACAGGGCAAGTCACGCCTGGGTGACCTCTATGAAGAGGAGATGCGAGAGCTGCGTTGGCAGGTGGATCAGGTCACCAATGACAAAGCCCGGGTTGAGGTGAAGTGAGACAACCTCGCCGAAGACATCATGCGGCTCCGGGAGAAGTTGCAGGAGGAGATGCTTCAGAAGAAGCAGAGAGCAGCCTGCAATCTTTCAGACAGGATGTCCACAATGCTTCTTTGACAGGTCTTGACCTTGAGCGGAAAGTAGAATCCTTGCAAGAAGAGATTGCCTTTTTGAAGAAACTGCATGATGAAGAAATCCAGGAGCTACAGGCTCAGATTCAAGAACAGCATGTCCAAATTGATATGGATGTCTCCAAAACCGACCTCACAGCTGCACTGTGTGATGTACATCAGCAATATGAAAGCGTGGCTGCCAAGAACCTTCAGGAGGCTGAAGAATGGTACAAGTCTAAGTTTGCTGATCTCTCTGAGGCTGCTACCCGGAACAATGATGCCCTGTGCCAGGAAAAGCAGGAGTCTAATGAGTACCGGAGACAGATCCAATCCCTCACCTGTGAAGTGGATGCTCTTAAAGGCACTTATGAATCTCTGAAGTGCCAGATGCGTGAAATGGAAGAGAACTTTGCTGTTGAAGCTGCTAACTACACCAAGACACTATTGGCCGTCTGCAGGATGAGACTCAAAACATGAAGGAAGAAATGGCTCGTCACCTTCGTGAACACTTCGTGCTGAATGTTAAGATGGCTCTTGACATTGAGATTGCTACCTACAGGAAACTCCTGGACGGCGAGGAGAGCAGGATTTCTCTGCCTCTTCCAACCTTTTCTTCCCTGAATCTGAGGGAAACCAATCTGCATTCTCTTCCTCTGGTTGACACCCACTCAAAAAGGACACTCCTGATTAAGACTGTTGAAACAAGAGCTGGACAGGTTATCAATGAAACTTCTCAGCATCATGATGATCTTGAGTGAAAATTGCACCCACTTGGTGTGGCAGTATATTACCAGCAAGAATAAAACGAGATCCATATCTTAAAGAAACAGCTTTCAAGTGCCTTTCTGCAGCTTTTTCAGGAGTGCAAGATAGATTTGGCATAGGAATAAGCTCTAGTTCTTAAGAACCAATATTCCCAAAAGAGGTAGAAAAGTTTACAACATAATCTAGTTTATGAAGAAACCTTGTGCTAGAATACTTTTTTAAAAGTATTTTTGAATACCATTAAAACTGCTTTTTTCCAGCAAGTATCTGACCAACTTGTTTCTGCTTCAATAAATTTTTGGAAAAACTCTAAAAAAAAACACCACTCTTGAAACCCTATGAATATTCTCTATCATTTGGAGTGTCTATGAGTCATAATGATGGTACCCAACAATAAGATGTCCAGACCTATGAACTTAGCATCTGCTGGATACTGCACAACTTCTCACACCTTAAAATACAATTAGAAATTAGATATCGTCACCATTGATTCTAGTTCCTCATTTATTTCCTAACTTTTTGAGAAATAAATTTCTACCAGTCACTCCTCAGAACCCTATACAAGGCTGCTTGCTAAAAGTCAGAACCAAATCAAATTTACTGAACAACAACAATTTGCTTATCACAAGAACCCAAAAGCCAGCTTTGCAAAGATATAACTTCATTAAAATAAATGCAGTGATCTAATGTTGAAACCCTAAACTACTTCAGAATGTAGTCCTATAGATGTCACTATTCACCTTGAATTTAAAAATATCCCACTGGGTTCCTGTGAACTTGCTGAGGCATCCTCAGGCTGCTCAATGCATGATTTGGGAAGCAGAAACCTGTGGGTTACCAGTCCCCTGTGGGACAGTTCTTATAAAAACTAAGCCACAGATCTACTACATATGCTTAACTGATTGAGAAATTCTAAATACGTATAAATCTTTTAAAAATAAGACATTAGCTACACATAAATATTTTTAAATGTTAAGACTTTGAAATTAAGAACTTACCTAAATCAAAATCATACATACAATAGGTCATCAAAATGTCATGAAGCAAAATCAACCCTGGATTATTTTGGCCTTCATAAAACTTGTTCGTTCGATCTGTTCTGTTAACATCCTTTTCTAAAGAGGAAAATCACATATTTGAAAACCTTTTTAAGAACAGATTTCATAAAGCTCACATCTTACAAATATAGAATTCTGAAGTCCCTTAACAAACTTTACTTTATGATAGGGAAAACTAATCAAATTCCATTTCAGATACAAAGTAACCTTCTGGGATACTTTTTAACAATCAGTCCACCCCCTTTACAGGCAGATTTAAAAATATAATTCAGTAGAAATCTTTCCATTAAATTGTAGAAAACATTTCCATGACCTAACCCAAATCCAAACACCAATCTTCAAACTGCTTCCAACTCATAGAGATTCTATAGGAATGAGTAGAATTGTCCCATATATTTCCAAGGCTATAAATCTTTATGGAAACAGACTGCCACCCTTTTTTGTGAGCAGTGCTTTAACCACTGCACCAGCAGGGTTAACTCAATGGATTAAAAGCCAACACTAAATACTAACTCCCATTAGTTAATAAAAACATCAGCCTTGAATGCAATAAGCAGTGCTACTTGAAAACAATAATGAAAAGGGCTATAATATAACCAAGCATAATCAAAGAGATTTGTTTCATTCATCATTACTTTACTTATTATGAGAAGTGTATCACCTTCTTTGTCATGCTCCAAAATTGCCTTCAGGATGAAATAATTCTGTTTTCTCAAATACACATTATTCACAGTTTATATTATTATAAGCAATCTATTTCAATTTTGAAAACCAGAAATCCATACTTTACTTGGAAATGATTTCATGACATTACAAACAGATTTTAAAATATCAACATGAGCATATCTAAAATTGCATCAACAAAAGAATTCATAACATTGATTGATTGTCTACTATGGTTTGGTTTGGGGTTAGGTACATCATGTTGTGAAACACTTTCCAACTAGAAAGGGATTCCCCAAATATGAATTCTTCAGTAAATTAGCAAGAAACAACAAACTCAAAATGATCAATAAGCTCTAAAATCAATTCTGTTTAAAATTATAATTGTGTCCCCCACAACTTTATATCAAGCTATGTAATTTGAAACCATCCTCAAAACTAGTTGCAACGAGATGGCATGAGTGGTGTAGATTTTGTTAACAGCATTCTTTTACATTATTAGAACAGTAGTCCACCTTTCTGTTAAGATACACAGAATTTTATTTAATAAAAGCAAGCATATATCTAGAGAATTGTGGATAGTTTTTTTAAACAAATATACAAAAACACACCAAAAAAAATTCACACTACAAATTTAAAATCTCACTTAAAAATATAAAAATATTCCATTTAATAATTGATAAAGGCATCCATGAAGTCCTTATGTAGCACAGAAGAATAAGCACTGGATTGCTAACCACAAGGTCAGCAGTTCAAACCCACCTCAGAAACCCCAATACGTCACTGAATCGGGAAAAACTCGATGGCACTTAATGACAACAACAACAAACACGTTCATAACAAATAACATTTTTTAACTCAAGCACAATCTAGCTAACGTCAATTTAGAATATTGGGCTCAACATAAACATGGTAAAATGTTCATGTTGTCATTAACTACCAGTATTTCTTTCCTTTCACAGATATTTTCTAATAAATACAAGTCATGTAAAAATAAAAAGGAGTCAAACATGATATATAAAAATGAAGGAAGCATTATAATGGAATGACTCCTTGGTGGTACAAACAGTTAAGCACTCAACTACTAGCCAAAAGGTTGGCAGTCTGAACTCACTCAGAGAAGCCTCAAAAGAAAGGTTCTGGTGATCTGCTTCCAAAAATCACAAAACCTTAGTATACCTATGGATCAGTTTCATCTACTCTGAAAACATGAAATTGCAATGAATTAGAATCAAATCAACAGCAACTAACAACTACAACATTATAAGGGAACTAATTCTAGTAAGAAAAGTTACACACAAAAAGTGTCCTAGTGTAATATAGCTCCCCATCTAATTTGATACAGCTGAAAGAGACAAAGAAGCTGAAGAAAATCACAATCATGCTGACTAGTCTCAGCTAACAATTGCCATCACTTCAATGGGCCCTTAAAGGTGCCATGCAGTGATGCTTTATTTCCTTCATCTGTTCACTTTCTTTCTGCAAGTATCCATATTGCATCTTTTCTCTCCTCAAGCCTCCAGCACCTTCTCCTACATCCTAGCTCAGATGAATCTTGATTCCTATTTCACTGACAAAATAGCTGCTATCCACATAAAATTTCCACGGGTTCCCATTACTCTAACCACACAACTATAAATATAGCCAGTCTTCCTTCTCTCCTATCACTATAAATAAGCTTCTATGATCGTGGCTGAGATCAACCCTTCCTTGTATATGAGACACATACCCATTTAGCTACCAAGTACTTTGTTCCAGTAGTTCCTATTTTCCTCTCCTGTTTCATCAATTTTTCCTTTTTACTATATCATTGCCATGAGCATTCAACCATAGTGGTTTCCCCAATCGTCACAGTAACTTTTTAAACCCCACTTAGCCCTCTAACTGATGGCCCCATTTCTCTCCAGCATTTATCCACAGGGTTCTGTAACAGTTACCCGAGCAACAAAAGCATAACTACAAGATAGCTGAGAAGAGGTGCTTCCTGCCTGGAGAACTGTGATATCCTGAGTTGTTTCTGATCCTGAATTGTACCATTGTCTTCCCTAATAAACCCCATAATTGTGATTATTGTCTCTGAGCTGTATATGGCCCCTGTAACCAATTACCAAACTCAGCAGAGAAGTAAAGTGCTGTGACAGAACAGGGTATAAAAGGCTGGAAGGTGAAGGCATATGTGACCTCTGCCTCACAGGAATCAGCCTTGGGCTGCTGCTGATGATTCTCCTCCTTTCCCTTGTGAAGTCGGAGAAGGTCACATCAACTAAAATATATTGTCTTTCTGTTAGGGTTGGCTGATCATCTGAATATATTTAATCTAGCAAACACCAAGTAAATATTCTATTTTCAAATACTGACAAAAATTACTATATACCTAGCTAGAGTCATCTACTTAAAGATTTAAGTATATGTATGTTTAGGAAGGAGTCCTGGTGTGGTGCTGTAAGATAATACACTGAACTGTAAGGTCAGCAATTCAAGGTCAGCATTACCCCAGCTGCTCCTCGGAAACCCTATACAGGGTCACTATGGTTTAGAAACTGACTTGACAGTACTAACAACAAATGTTTAGGAAGGACTCCTTGTGTGGCACTAGTCTGAAAACCATAAGGTCAATAGTTCAAACCCATCAGCTGCTCCTCAGAAACCGTACATGTGGTCTCTGTGAGTCAGAACGGACTCAACAGCACTTAGCAACAACATGTTTAGAAAAGGTGTGGAAGGATATCAACAGTCTAATAACCATAGTTATTTCTGGGTGATGGGAACAAAACTCTCATTTTCCTTTTCTCATCTATAAGTTTTACAGTTTTCTATAATAAGCAAACTGCTTTTGTAATGAGGTGGCAAAAATGAATTTTGAAATAAAATTAATTTTACAAACAAAGTTCAAACAACTTTTAGTTCACTTTCTGGAACTGCAAATTAGATATATCAGTACTTACAAAGATACTGACTGAATTTATAGTCGCAGCAGAAGATAAACAATTAAATACACATTCCAGTGTACAAAGGGGCTTCAAAACACATGTGGAAAAATGGAATTAAAAGACAATAAAAAATTTCCATGAACTTTCTGAAGCCCCTCGTACTTTCCAATTCTGATTTCTCTTTCAACTACAAGCTCTGTAGCATATGTCTTACTTCTTTATTCTTTACTGTGTCGAACCAATCTAGGGAAAGCCCACCTGCCTTTCCCTCATCACTTCAGACCCCAGTTACCAGCCAAGCCATTTCTCTCATCCCCATTCATCCAGGACTAGGTCAGCAAGCACTAGTCCCCCCTTTTATTTTTTAGGGGCTATAATCTGTTGAAACTACTAACAAACTGAATGAAGGGAAAGGACTTCAATCTAGAAGAAAAATGGATACAATTGCCATGATGGAGGGGCAGGGAAGAGGTCTCCTCCCAGAATTTCCATGGCCCCAGGGGATATGCTTACCCCTCAAAAGCAATTATTTGCTTTCTCCAGTGAGCCTCTTTCTTCCAAGACCTTTATTGGCTTCACAAAGGCAACACAGAGCACATCATCCTCCTGACTCAGTTAGCAGTGAGCCCAGGATCCCTTTTAGTTCGGTCAGGCCCCTATTCATTGATCTCAGGTGTGACTCTATTCTCAGGAACCAGGACTAAAGGTCAAGCTGTTCACTGCAAAGGAGTTCTCCACCTCGCACTTATCAAGACTTAAATGCATACGCCTCCAAAAATTGTTTAGGAAAAAATTACCTATAAGACTTCTATAATCTCTTAACCTTGAATTTCTCTTCTCTTGCTCCTCGCTGACAGATTTCCACTGCAGCTTCATTCTGAAGTATTCATCACTAAAGAAGACAATTTTACAACAAAAATATGTTATTTGAACACTTTATTTTTAACTGAGTTGTCTATAAGCAGCATATCAAAAGACTTTATGATACTAGTTGGATGTAAGTTTATAAGAATGATAGTAAAATATTTAGTTTTGATCATGAGTAAAAACAAAGGGAAAAATAAAATTTTATGCATGTCACACAGTTTATATGACATCGATTTACTTTGATTCTTAAAATCATTACCTAAAATTATTCTAAAGTTCTTAACTACTTTAACCACTAAATCTTTTTCTGATGTGTTACAGCAATCTAAATCTGAGGTACTGACATGTCTAAAATGGCTGACCCAGGTCTGGGTTGAATTCCATTTTGCTTCTGCTTCTGCTTTCTGCTGACTGCCTGACCTCTCATCAGTGTAATGGAAATTTTTCATATGGTGGTAGTGCACAAACAGTGATCAAAAGTTTAAGTTTGAGGAAAGAATGTTCCAGGAAACTTGTGAAATAAATGACCTGGGAAAACATGTTAGAAATTGAAATAGCTGATGTTAAGAGAGATATGTTAAAAAAAAAAAAAAAAAAAAAAGTCTCATGATTGTTTACATTGAAGTAAATGCGAAGCAATCAAGTTTTTCTTTAAAATTCCTGATATTTCTATCTAAAATTTTCCCTCCCTTTCTTTGATTTCAGGGTACACTGTACTTTTACTTTATGATGCCCACTTCATATTGCTATTCCTCTTAGCTTTATCCTTACCTGGGAAAGAAAATTTGTTCATTGATACTAAATAAATACAAATGTAATTTTAAAAAAAAAATGTACTGTAAGAGTGCCTGCATTCTGATTAGCATACCATAAAAACATAGTAATGTGAAAATGTATCAGAGGGACTAGTAAGCATGGTGAAAAGAAAAAAGATTGTCAGAGTATATGAGAAGGCACAGAATGGCGGACAGTGGTTTTAAATCAAAGGTTAGACGTATGGACTGGGAACAAGTGTGCCTTGAACGGGGAGGAAGCAAGATAATATTGCAGGGAGGGGACTATAATCATTGAGATGAAACAAAGTGTATGATTTGTTGAATGTAAAACTGATAATCTTGTTACCAAACCATCACTCAATTCACAATAAAAGTTAAAACAACAACAAAAAAGAAGTATATCTGGAAAGTTACTTTGTTTCAAGTCTATGAAATAACTTAAATAGAAACACTCTTCCAAATAAGCCTAGTTTATTTTACAGGAACAACAAGGGAATCATTTAAAAGTAATTAACCTAAATAGCAAATTCACTTTTAGTAAGCCATTTTTATAATTTCATATATTGCAAGAATGAATCAAGATGAATTAGATATATTTTTTAAATCTACATCAAAATTGTTACCTTTCAAATATGGAAATGGCTTGCACAAGATTAACTTTTTTTTTTTTAACAATTTTTACACTCACCAACATGAAATCCTTCTAATAAATGTCTTCTGATTTAAAAGACAAAAATAAAATTAGTTTCCCACTCCCTAGTCTATTCCTAGAAATCCTATACTAATTTGTATGGGTGAATTACTTGAATTTATTTGATGAACACATTAAAGACCATTACTTACGTTTTTTGTTTTTGTAATAGAATTCTCTCATCTTTGGTACTGTCCCAAGGAAAATAGCCCAGAAGAAATTTCCAGGCTTGTTTTCTCAATGCATGACAAAGCCCCTAAAGACAACATTAAATATGTTAGTTAAAGCTATGAAGCACTTTAAGTTCGTAAAACTTGCACATAAACAAATAAGATGAATATTTAAGAGGTGGGTGGTGGTGGTGGTTATGCCCCCTCAAAGTAGTTCTGATTCATAGCAACCCTGGAAGAAAGATGAAGTATTCTGCTCCCATAAAGTTTGAGAGCTTTGAAAACCCTAACCAGGACTGCCATGAGTCGGAAACGACTTGACAGCACACAACCGTACCCACCGTCATCACCACCACCAGGTCTAAGGATATCCCCCCGCCGACGCTGCCCTAGGAATAGCCACTCAACCAAGAGATTTTAACATTATCCATCAAAAAAGATAATTCTTTCTCACCCTACAAGAAATCTTAATATTAGCCATTCATATTCAATTTGTATTATTTACATTACCCCTCTAAATATCATCTGCTTTACATTATCCACATTTAAAATTCTTCCTTCGGAGTCAATATTCTTAGTCCATTCTTCCAATGACACTGGCTCTCTCCTTTGAACAACAGGCCTTTCACCCAAATCAATCTAAAACAAGATGAACAATCATGAATACATTTCTAATCAGTGACATGAAATCAAAGCAAACAGAAATGAAGTATCAAATTCCCTTCCTCATATATGAGGATAACATTTCTAATATCCTCCCTTGTTTTGTAATACAGAGTTTACAAACCATAGTAGTTAGCATTACATGCATTTCCTCTCCTCCAAATACAACAATAACTGGGGTATAAATGCAGAGATAAGAAATCCCACAGATTGAAATCATTTGTAATTTTTAAAAAGATGCTCTTTGCCACTTGGGGTTTCAATTATATAAGTGCAGAACATTCAACCTATAAATTCTATAAACAAACCTTCAAACTAAATGGTATATTACATTATTTACAAAGAGAGAGAGAGAAAATACATAATTATTCCATTAATCATATCCCAACATTAGCTTTTCTTCCAAACTCAAATTTATAGTTCTCAGAATTGATTCATGATCCAATAGCTCCACTTGGCATTTTCAATAATTTCTGATTCAATTAACAGATGCTAGTAATTTTTAAAATATCATCTGGATAATAAGCCCTTTAATTAAGTACTACAATTCAGATATTTAGATTTTTAGAACTACGTGTAAACCTAGAATTGCAACAAATTCCAAAGTATTGTTGAGCACATATAAAGATTTGTCATAGTTCAAGACCAAAATCGTAGTGTCTCTGGTGCCTACGAAAGAATTAGTAGAAATAATATTAGAAACAGAAACAGGGGCAATAGGCAAGGGTCACTATTCACTGACTGCTATGCACTCAAGGAAACACTCTGTTCATTACCATCAAAAAGTAATCAAAAAATATTTTCTAATAAGGAAACAAGTGTAAATTGCTACAATATAATGAACTTGACTTATACTTATGAATGTAGTAGCTCAAAATACCAATTGAGAGGAAAGAAGTCTTTATATCAAGTATCAATCCTATCCCCTCTGTATACATACAGGGTTGATATGGATGAGCAACTTAAGACACTGGCTACCTAAAATTGGGGGGCGGGGGGCACACTATAAAGGCACGAAGTGAATGGCTTACAAGTTTTCAAGTGGGAGTTTAGTTTCAGTGTGCAGGGAAAGGTAGAATCCCCACTGAATAGTTTTCCTCTTGTCCAGATGGGTCTGGTGAAAGGAGATGAGGATTTGATTCTTATGATTCAATAGTGAGTAACTGTTATCATGACTAACTCCAACTGTCACAACTCCAAAGGTAGAAGTTTTGTAACAAAAATGAGTAGTTTATCTTACAGTCCAGGAACAAGAGGACCCTAGGACCATCAAGGGAAAAGAACACAAGCAGAATGTGGGACCCTATCCAAAGAAGTAGCAGTACCAGAGATGAAGGCAGAGATGAGGACATGGAAAGATAGAGCAGCTGAGGACTTTAGATTCATGGAAAGAGAAAAGCTATGTGCTGGTGGTCAGGAGATAGGCTTGCAGAATGTGCCCTTTGCTTGTTCAAATGATTATATATTCCTGAATGTTTTTGTGTACATCCACAACCCCCATGCAAAAGAAAATTTAAAAATAAAAAAGACACATGTAAACTATCACATAATTCACAATAAAACATTTATTAAAAAAAAAACATAAAAAAATAAAATAAAAAAGACAGAATAGAAGCAAATACTGTTGAATGAGGATGCACAGAGGAGACTGTAATCACTGCAAGACACAGTAAGTGTAAAATCGATGTTCTCCCACATAAACTATCACTCAATTCACAATAAAAACTTTAAAAAGTAATCAAAGCTAATAGAGGGGTGAGGGAATTTTCATTTAGGAAACAGTACGTTTCTGTTTATGATGATTCATGTAGTTGACATCTTAAATTATACAGTGATAAGTCAAAAGGTATTGCTACCAGAATTCCAGTTCATATATGCATGGGTTTATTCCAAACAAAACACGCTTAACATGTCTCTGTGATCAGGGGATGTCTGCAGACAACCTCTCTCAGTAATATATTTATATTAGTCTTGTTAGGATGACTTCCAAAAAAGGATACTTTCAGTTCTATGGAAAAAAATGACTGAGATCAGGCAAATAGCAAATTTTTTAACAGATTCACGTGGACATCTTCCAAATCATTCAATCATTCTATCAAGTTGAAGGGAATGCTGCCCACATAAAACAATAGTTTTTAGATGGAACAAAATGTTCTAAGGAAGGTCAGAGAGGCTTCAAACGTTAACCCCAAGAGAGAGACTGTCAACCTCGACAAATGAAGAAACTGGTTGACACACCAGTGTTCATAGCAGCACTATTTACAATAGCAAAAAGATGGAGACAGCCAAAGTGCCCATCAACTGAAGAATGGATAAACAAACTGGTACATACACACAATGGAATATTATGCTACCTTGAAGAATAACAAGGAAGCTGCAAGCCACCGCATAACATGGATGAACCTTGAGGACATTATGTTGAGTGGAATTAGTCACAAAAGGAGAAATACTGCACAGGACCACTACTGTGAAAAAACTAAGTAAAAGAACCCATGCTAAAGGGGAGGGCAGGGAAGGTGGAGCACAGGGTAGGGAATACTTTGGACATATTGTCCAGAGGGAACAGTCACTGGAGAAGGATGTCATCGTGGGTAAGATGGAGGGTCAGAGAAAAGCAGGAAGACCCCCAACGAGATGGATCAGCCAGGTGGCATCATTGATAGAGACAAGTGTGGCAGCGGTGGTGAGGTTGGCCCAGGATCGGACATTGTTTCATTCTGCTGTGCATGGGGTCGCTATGAGTCAGTTCCGACTCGATGGCACCTGACAACAACAACAACAAAGGCAAGAAGTGACTGGCTTACAAGCTTTCAAGAGGGAATCTAGATCCAGAGGGCATGGAGGACGGTAGAATCTCCACTGAGTAGTATCCAATCTGTCTGGGAGGGGCTGGTGAAAGGAGATGCAGATAGGTATCTTGTGATACAGTAGTGATTGTGAGTGTTGGAAATGTTAAGGTAGACGTTTTGTATCAAGGAGGGAAGTGATTAACTTTACAGTCTAGAAGCAGAGGTCTCTGGGACCATTAAGGGAGAAGAGTGGAGAGTGGGACCCTACCCAGAGAAGCAGTGACCCCAGAGACGGAGGCAGAGACAATGACGTGGAGAGATGGAGCAGCTGGGGACTTCAGACCAGATAGGGAGAGGGGCAGGCTTGCAGGGTATACCCTGTGGTTGGTTGATAAAGCATGGAGGGCATTGTAACCATGGCAATGAAATAATACACAACAGGATGAATGTAAAGCTAATTTCTCCCATGTAAACTATCACATAATTCACAATATTAAAAAAAAAAAAAAAAAAAAACGAAACTGGTTGAAGTTCAAGAACTAGTGGAAGACGACCACAGAGCTGCCAGTGATGCAATAGCTATTGAAGTTGAGATTTCACATGGTTTGGCATTTTAAATTTTAAATGAACACCCTGGCCTCAGCAAGCTTTGGCTCTATGGATGCCGAAAACTTCATGTGGAGATCAGCTAGCTCAAAGAATTGATCTTTCCACTGAAGCTAATGAAGAGAACTTTACAGAATTAATCAATCAGGGACCAGTCTCAGAGTTACCCATATGATACAAAGAGCAAAGTCCAATCAGAATAGTTGCTTCCAAGGGGATGTATTGGATCAGTTAAATTCAAGACAGAAAGATCAGTTCTTCCTATGGTAAATGTTTCTTGGAGTTCAAAAGAGGTAACTTTGCTAGATTTTTTTTTTTAAGAACCCAGGACAACCATCCAGGCTTATTATGAAAATGTTTTAAGAAAATTGAAAATTGCACCGGTGAAAAAAAGGCCAGGAAAGTTGCACCAAGGAATTCTTTTCCATCATGACAATGCACCTATTCATTCTTTAAGGAAAGCAACAGTTGGTCCTTGGAGCATTTCTTTGGGAAACCATACCCCAATTCACCCTACAGCCCTGATCTTGCCTCTTCACACTTCTTTTACTTATTCCCCAAACTCTGAACATCTCAAAGGAATACAATTTGAGTCCTTTGAGAATGCCAAAACTGTCGTTTTGATGTGGTATAAATCAAAGAGCACAGCATTCTAAGAGAAGGGTTAAAAATACCACCTTCAGAAGTGTATAGACCTAGATGAAAGTCATGTCGAAAATAATAGCTTCATATATTGATGTCTTTGTTGTGAAGTGACATGGAGTTGATTTCGACTTAATAGCAACCCTACATAAGGTTTCCGAGGCTTTTAAAAATATTTGTGGGAGCAAAAAGCCTCATCTTTCTCCCACGGAGTAACTGGTGGCCTTGAACCTCAGATCCTTCTACTCACCAACATGTGGTTCACAGTCCAGCACTTATGCAACCACCAAGCTCCCCATGTATTGATACTTTTTGTTTATTATCAAAGTACGAAAAACAATAGCTTTATATTTTGATATTAAACAAAAATATCAATATATGAAGCTATTGTTTTTGTAGTACTATTTTTTATTCTGTAGCAATATTTTTGACTTAGCCTTACACTTGAGAAATGTTGAACTGGCAAATGTTGTGTTATATATTTTTTATAACAACAATAATTTTAAAAATCATGAAAGACTCCCAACAAAAATGAACAGAAAAATAGTATAACAAGTATTCAATAGAGGGTAAAAATCAAGAATTTGATGGTACAGCAAATTTTAAGAGATAATAGCACAAGAGATAATTAGCATAACTGAGCGTGTATTTCTAAAGCAAGCAGTACACTTTTCAAAAGCATTTCTGCTGTTAAAAGTATAAGAGCTGTCTCCACTCACTCTTGTGATGACTTCAAATCCTGGTTCTTCTTGCTGATTTATCTTTAGACCTGAAATAGCATCACTAAGAAAATCCGCCATTTCTGAAGGTGGTCGTTGGTGAGTAGAAGGATCACTTCCTCTCAAACTATCAAAAATATAGTTCGTGACTTTTGAAAATCCTACCATAGTTGCTGTATAAGGATCCTTTTTAATTTTCTAAGTAGTAAAGAGAAAAATTAGCATTATTAATTCAAATAAATAAAAATGCTCTATGCTGGGCAAAAGACAATAGGTAAAAGGGGGAAAATCAGAGCTAAAACAGAGTATTCTAAGATTATCTAAAAAAATTTTTCTAAGAATTTAAAATTTTGTCAACCTTTTCATTTCATTAAACTACTATAGTAAGTGCAAAGTTACTGCTACTGATTAAATATCAGATAAACAAATGATTTGCAGGCTTCATTCAATCTGCATACATCAGAAATATGCAGTGCTTACTTTCCAGTGGTGAATGGCCCACAACAGCTTTCTTCTGTCTAGCAGTCCTGCCTTCATAAAAAAAGAATATTTTTGAAGTGTGTACTACTACACCAATCTAACAAAATTTGATAACTAAACTCCAAAAGTAATAATATTTAAACATGATCTAACATTTTAATTCAATTACATTAATAATCACAAACAAAATAATTTTTTCAGGGACAGCGCTGCACTGGAAAACAGCACAAGATTTTTCCACTGCTAAGTTCCAGGGTTACTTCTAAAGGTTCAAACAGCCTGCTCATTCATATTTCATAAAAATAGTCAATTAATGGTTTAATCTTTAAAAATGATTGTTTTCACAAGAAGAAAAAACAGTTCCTTTCATTTTTATTTAAAATAGATTCGAGCTCTCTTGTCAGAATCCTAGAGTTCCCTCTTTATCGTGTTAACCTCTCTTCAAAACCAAGAAGAGATTACCTAGGACATAGTATGCACTCAAACATTAGTTGAATAAGCGAATAAATGAATGAATAAACAATCCTCTTTAGTTTGCCTAAACTGATTGACTGCTAATGAATTCAAAGTAGCTTACCCAATGACTCTATTAGTCATTAAAAGTTATGACAATTAGTCTACTGTCGTCCAATTTCAGTATTACAATAAAGAAAAAAATTTGATACAAGAGTAACTAAGAAACAAAGAAGCTTCTACGTCTTATAATTAACATGGAACCAACATGGAATGTAGAAGCACTGGTGGTGCTGTAGGATAGAAACTGGATGCTCACAAGGTCAGCAATTTAAACTCACCAGCCACTCTGTGGCAGAAAGAATGAGGCTTTCTGCTCCTGTGAGAATTTATAGTCTCACTAACCCTAGACAGGGTCACTGTGAGTAGGAACTGACTTGACAGCACATAATAACAACAATACAAAACAAGTTATTTCTGTAAAAGAAGAGAGAGTGGTTCTATAAAGCTTACATACATCCACATATACACCTGCCTCTTCTGTGTATTCTCTCGGAAGATGAGAAATAGAAATATATAAAATAATGGAGTCAGATTAATAGATTAATGCAGGATAGATTTCAGAAACATACTTGTATTAAACCATATGCTGGTTCATCGAGAAGATTTTCAAAAGATTGTGAAAGACTCTTATTCTGACAATTGACAAGAAGTGTTCTTTTATCCTGTGGAGAGCTGTAATAAAATGAAAAGATTTGTAAAACTACTAGCATACTATCTAAATAATCAATTGCTACTTTTCATAATAAAAAATGTTCAAATGTCCAGTTATAGAATAGTTTCCCATTAATATAATATTAGCAAATATTGATAATGATCTTAATGAAGATTCAAAGCTACATGAAACAAAATATTAACAAATGTAAAAGGGTTGAAGTATATTTTTATTCTAGGTAAAGCCAAGAATACTAAATTGCAATGAAAATCAAGTTTTCATTTAGAGTTACAATAAATAAATTGTATAATTTATTTACCTTTATTATCATAAAACATTACAGAAAGCTAAAACATTTAGGATTCATCAGTATACAACAATACTCTCCATAAGAAAAAATATTTTTTCCAACTTTCATTCTACAGCATGGTCAATAGTACTATAAGATGTTAAAAAAAATATCAGAAAGACAAACAATTTTTAAAGACTACAAAATAAACTAATTTTAAACATCATATATGATCATATTTAACAAAGTAATAATATATAGCTCAGTTAATAATATACTTTTAATTCTTGCTTATCAAACTCTAGAAGCAAGTCTATCTCTACACATTCTTAATAACTACAGAATACAATGCTTTCTAAACAAGCATCTAACTTCACACAACCAGATGAACTGTACAATTTTTTTTTTACTAAGTTTTGTAACTTAGTCAGCTGCAATAAATTCACAACTTTTCTGAATTTAAAATAAAATCGAATGTGTTGTTTTGCTGCTATCTATGTCTAGCTTATTATAAATGCTTGAGATAAGAACTTTTTAATAACAGCTATCGCTTCTCAATTCTAACATAACAGGATGTAACAGCAATACTAGAGATATGAAATCCAAAACATAATCTTATTCTTATACAGTCAGAAACAGCACTCTATCTTCAGAAACAATAGCAGAGAATAAGACACTGGATTTTTTCAAAGGAGCAAAGGTTGAGCCATTTGAAGTAGGAAAAAAATTATACGTTTCAAACCATTCAATTTTCATTAAGACATTTTTCTGAACTTTTTTTGTGTGATACTCAACATAAAGATCTACACATTCTTACAAAGTATGCTTTTTTAAAGTAGCTAATAATAGAAGCTAACATTTTTCCTCTAGCAAAATACTGCTGATGCTGCGACTCTACCTTGTTTCTGACATCAAGTCAAATTATTTATCTACACTCCAAATAAAAGAAATGGTCATGAAAGCTAAAATGCTGGTTATACACGTAGATGGGGAACAAATATGAACCTAGGCTCAGAAATCAGTAAGGCTCCAGATCTAAAATAATTACCACTAAGCTGGAGATGAGAATAAATGGCTCTAATCAGTAAACAATTACAAATATATATTTTAAAGGAAGCATTTCATTTTACACTCATTGCTGTATGACTAGGTTTGGGGTATAGAAGGTCTAGCAGTGGGAGAGAGTCGAGAAAATTTAGGACTGGCTGCTCCAACCTAATTAGGATAGAAAATAAAAAGAAAACAGTAAAAGGGAGCTTCAAAAAATTCATGGAAAATGGAACTGAAAGATACTGGAATTTTTCCATGAATATTTTGAAGCCCCCTCACATATCAGTCAAGGGGCAAGTAGAACACTGCTAAGCAATTGAAGCACTTAAAACAAAGAGTTGACAATCCAAAATACTGTTAAATGTTTCCACCTATCAGGCCACCATTCTAATTGAACTTGTATTTATTATGGATTCAGAGAAGTTGATTTCTCATGTCAATGTTATTCAAGACATTCCAACTCATTAAAATAGGAAGAGATAACTTTCAATGCTGTTAGTACCAGTTATTGAATCAGCACTAATTACGGCCTTAAATGAACACTGTGGTCTAGTATCACAGCTATGGAAGCACGTTGTTGTGGTGGCATTGTGCCTTCAAGTCAGTTCCAAATCATAGTGACCATGTATAGAATTTCCGAGGGTGAAAATCTTTGCAGGAGCAGAAAGCCTCATCTTTATCCCATGGAGCAGCAGGCGAGCTCCAACCACCAACCTTGTGGTTAGCAGTCCAATGCTTATCCTACAGAGCCACAGCTCTTCTTATGGAAGCATAGCTCCTGCAAATTCTGAAGTACTTTTCAAGCTTTACAGTAAGCCTTTCTTCAATGAACTCATAGCAAACTAAAAAATTGGAACAATGTTTTACACTCTTAAGGGACAATGAACTATTCCATACTTTACTTAAAATCACCAATATGAAAGGCTAAAACAAGTGAAATTATTGCAAAGGACACCAACAGGGGGGAAAAAGTGAAAAAATAAAAAGGCATGTAACAGCTACAATAACAAAATTACAAATGTACCAAAGAAAATAAATGAAGACTTAGAATCTCATCTTGTAAATGGTTGGTACTAAAAGATGACACAACCAGATAGTGTTTGAGGGGGCTGCTGCAATGCTTGGATTTATGTATTAATATAAAAATGTACTAATATATAAAATAATTTTAATGCAACCAATAAGCCCCATTCCTCTCTCTGCAACCAATTTGGTCCAATAAAGCTAAGAAAAAATAATTTGTGGCTCATTCTTTTACCCAAATGAGCATCATGTTTTAATAGGTGGTAAGTCAAAGAACACTAATAAACATCAATGAATAACACACACACACACCCCAGTACCTAAGTAAACCACCTGAAAAATACTGTGCCTCACTGGGGCCTCGATTTGCACTGACTGATCTAGCTGGAGAGACTGAAATCAGCACCTTAGCATGGCAGGCCTGGTCCTTTCCTCACACTTGTACAGCTGCCCATGTACAGCACATTTAGAACCTCTGCTCATCGGTGGGGAAGGCAGGCACTACTCTTTCGGAAGAAAACCCTGACTCAGTAGAGGAAGTATTAGATGACAACAGGGCCACAGATGCAAGTCACATTCTTAAATTTAATTTAATCAGAAAAGAAAAAAAAAAAAAAAAAGAGAGAGAGAGCACAGACAAGTCTGATTCTTAAAACCTGTTTCAACTGGTTTTAAATTCAGAAGATGAGAAGATGATCTTGGTTGGCCAAGACAGACTGGCATTTTAGTGAGGATTAAGACAAGATTTTTCTTATTCTTCTTCCTTCTGATCTCTACAGAAATTTACAAAAACAGGCATCAAAAAACACCACTTATTTGGAATAACTGCTCTAGGGAAAGGAAATGAGATTCCTGTAGCTAAAACCTAGTAGAAGAAAAAATCTGCAGATTGTATTTGAGGACTTTAATTTCTTCGAATGTTAACTTAAAAATTTGAACATTCCATTTATTTGGACCCTCAGTAACAAGAACAAGGGCCTTTACTGTATCCTTAAGAATTTACAAATGGGAGGCAGAATATACAAATCTGAGAAAATTATCCAACATATGATATGGCGGGACCTTGAAGATAAATAAAGTATTTGATGTACTACTCTTCTTACACGATTCAGATCCTTTAGGAAGCAAGAAGCAAATGCTCCCTCTTTCCTAGTGTCACAGGAGAATATACAAAAGATAATTGGCTGGAATTAAGGGAATGGCCTTACAAAGGATTCATTTTAGACAGAACCACAGGATGCCTGTTTAATTATACTTAATGATAAAGTACAATGAGGAGAGAACAAAATGCAGGGAGGTCAGTCCCTTCTGCTGGTTTTCTCTTTGACCAGATCACTGAAGCTTCCAATTAACAAACTTATGCTTACATCTTGTCCCACTTTATCCTCTCCTTAGTTGATCTCATTCTCTCAGAGTTTCAATTACTAATCATACACTGAAGACTTAACATAATATATTCCATTATAAGCTCTCACAGTGCTCTCTATCTCTTATTCAGAGAACTTATCACAAATGAGATTTTGCATTTACGTGGTGAATATTTGTGGCTCCCACGATGATGAAAACTCCATGAACATGACACATATTATTACTGCTGTCTTTCCACCATTTGACAAGTTTAGGGTGTTTTAAGAACTGAAAGAAAACCATGTGGCTAGAAAGCAAAAGAATGACATGAGATGAGCTTAAGAGATAAACACAGGGAAGACAATGCAGGTCCTCTTTAACCACGGTAAGAAATTAGGATTTTATTCAATGCTGCACTGAGATGCCTTTAAATTAATCTCATCATTTGTAATGAGACAAATAATTGGGGTGCTAAATTAACCTCAAAATTTGTGATGAGAAAAATAATAGGGGTGCCTATTCTCTATGTAGGACAAAAAAGGGGTCTTAGAGATAAAATATTTTATATACTGTACATTTTAGATCCTTTAGAATATAAATACTATTGTTTTCCAAGTGACCATTTTGACCCCTCTCATTATACTGGTTCTCTCTTCTTTGCAGTTATCATAAGAATGGCATATTTAAAATGCAGTGTCTAAAACTGAGCCAAGTTCTCCAAAATACTTCTGATCAGTAATGATTCAAGAGGGACTACTTACCATGTCCTGCATCTTAGAAACCATGCTTTAAAGTCTCAGTTTAAGTGATGTTTTTTGGTGATAGTTATATCATACTACTAAAACTGAGTTTGCTAATGTGCTAACACTCTTAAGTCTTTAACACCTGCTCTCACCAGCCATAACCTTGCGCTGCAATCGTGACCTTTCTAAAATCTATTTAATCCCCTGGTGGCAGCCTATTTAATTAAAGCTTCTGGCTTCAAGACCCAAGTCCCACATACCATCAACTAAGCCTAACTTTCTTTGGATACTACTGGTACTAATGAGTATACCTAGTACCAGCCAGAGGTGATCAACATGGTGGTGGCGGTGTGCTGCGGAGTCAGTTCCGACTGTTAGTGGCTATGCCTGCATAGCTTCCAGGGATCTTTACAGGAGCAAAAAGTCCCATCTTTCTCCCGCAGAACTGCTGGTAGTTTTGAACTGCTGACCTTGAGGTTAGCAGCCCAATTCTTAACCACTATGTTACCAGCGTTCCTTATCAACACGGTGGGGAAGAGAATCTCACGCCATAAAACACATAGCCTAGTGGGTTAAGGGTTACCAAAATCTTCCAATTTGGGGTACTATAAAGTAAGGATGGAGTCCTGGTGTGGCACTGGAGGTTCAAACTCACCAGCTGCTCCTCGGAAATCCTATACAGAGTCACAATGAGTTGGTACTGACCCAAGGGCACTTACCAACCACAACAACAAAGTAAGGACATTCTAATGTAGTTAACGTTCATCCACAGTTCCAAAAGATCAAAACCTTTTCTCTCTCCTTCTTACATCTACATATTCATCAATCACAAAATCTGACTTTGCCGAATAAGTCCCTAATTTGTACTCTTTTGTCTTGCCTGTCACTGGACAGCAAGGTCAGTTTGAACAGAAAAATCAGTGGTTCAAATTCACCAGTTGCTCCTTGGAAACCCTATATAGGGTCGCTATGAGCCGGAACCTATTCGACAGCACTTAACAGCAACTATCTTTCCTGTCACTCTCTAGTTCATGCCACCATAATCTCATCTGGATGACTGGAAGTCTGCTAATATGATTTACAAGATCCCTTGTGTTCTGGGCTTTACTCAGATTTGGTCTTATCTCTAACTTTGGTACCCTCCTTGTCCCACACTTGTGATAATGAACTACAGTTGGCCCTTGAACAACACAGGTTTGAACTGTGTGGGACCACTCATATGGAATTTTTTTCCTGGTGTTATTGTGGTGCGCTCAAGTGTTGCAAGAGTCCACTTAAAACAATGTGTATGCTAATCATCACCACGTGAGCTGCACGTCTCCGAGAGATGATTAGCAATGACACACTTTTTAGAGGATACTTGCAACATTTTAGCTCATCACAATAGAAACAAGAAAAAAAAAATCTGTGTATAAGTGGGTCAGTGCTGTTCAAACCCTTAGTGTTCAAGGGTCAACAGTACTTTGTTCTTAAATTTATCATGTTTGTGCTTGTCCATCTACCTAAAACCCTTCCTGTAGATGTCCCCTTCCCTTTCATACTAATGTTCACTCATTTGTCAGGTCTCAACTCCGACCCCATAACTTCCTCTAGAAAGTGTTCCAATTCCCACCGCACCCCTAGTATGAATTAGCTACCCTTCCTCCCTTCTTCAGAGCTCCCAGAGTACTTTGTACTTCCTTTCATTTAGTTTCTCAATTTTAATTGTCATTTACTTTCATAACCTTTATGAGAATATAATTCTCAGAGACCCAAGGGCATTCCTGTTTTGCTCACTACTGAATACTGAACAATCAGTATAGTACTTGACATGTAAATCAATGCCAAAAAATATCTGAGAGTGAGAAAGGGAGAATGTGTAATGTGCCCATATATAAATGCACGCTAGTAAATATAAGAGTTTGGGAAATAAGAAGGCCTGTCTTCTTTACTTATAAATAATTTTATAAAGATTAGACTTGCCTAACTTAAATTTTCAACAAAAAATACATAATATATGGTAAATTTGGTAAATGCATAATCCATAGATTACTATTGCATCTTTTCATTTAAATGGGTATAAGAAATACTGGACTACTCTTTTAAAATAAAAAACAGTACAATTTATTAAAATGGAAAAAGTTTATTCAGCCACTAATCCAAAATTGACAATATCCCAGAAAAAACATAGCTGCTTGTGCCCTCATATGTACATAGGTCACTGAGGCCCAAGGACAAGTAAAAGTAGTTTGCCTTGGGACGAATATAACAATCCAGTTTCAATAAGTAGAAAATAATTTGATACTTACTCACACAATACCACATATTTTTCAAGAGAGTCAATCAGTAGTTTGCTATCTCCTTGATGAAAGTGTAGAGCAGGGAGAACGACGTCATCTTTTAGACAGAATACCAAATACGACCAGCCCATACCCTCTTTGTTTTGCTTGATTGATTTCAGGTCTGTCAAACTGAACAGGAATGACCATTTGCTTTTCCCATTTCTATGACTTGGAGCATCTTAAAAACAAGAAAGTGGGGCAAAATATTTTTGTTCACCTTTTAAAAAGGGACTGACAGTGGTCTTTATGACTGCCTAAGGAAAAACCTGTTGAACCTGGGGACCCACTTTAACACACATTACAATGGCCTCCACCTGTATTATAAAAGGCAATTTGTATTCCTAAAAGAATGATTAAAAAAAGTTATCTTCAATATACAAACTCAAAAACTGTTATCCCTACTTAAAATAAAAGGTTTCCCCAAAAATCATCACAGCTTTAGAGGTAGGTAAGGCTAGATTTGAACTGCTATGCCACTATCTTGCTGAATGGTTTGGGACAAAGAATTGAATCTCTCTGCACCTGTTTCTTCATCTGTGAAACGAAGATAATTATACTTACCTCCCAATGTTATTCTAAGAATTAAATAATACTTGTCAATGAACTAAAAGAGCATGAGTACAGAGTAAACACACAATAAATGTTAGCTTTTCTTATTCCCTTCAAATGTGTATGTGATACTCTACCCGTCTGTTTTTTTTTAAATCTGTTTCTCCACTTCCTTATACAATTATTTACAATGTTGACAGTCAAATCCACCAGCTGCTCTGCAGGAAAGAGAGGAGGCTGTCTGCTCCCATATAGATTTACAGTCTTGGAAACCCTACCTGGGGTTGCTATGACTTGGAATGGACTTGATGGCAACGGGTTTTGCAGAGCATGAAGAAGGTACGCACAGTGGTATGAAAACAGCACGGGCATGAACACACAGACGGAGACAATTTATTTGCACAAGCCAACAGAGGGCAAAAATGCAATTAAGTAACGACTGCTTTAAAACAGAATGGATGCACCAATCTTTCAGGTTAAGTAAACTTTCTACTAATTTAGACCTACCTCAGGTCAAACCAAAGTAGAGCTTTTTTCTGAGTCTGTGGACTGTTTATATAAATTGGAAAAATCACAGTTTCATGAACAAGATCATAATTAATAACAAGCAACTTCAATTATTTAAAGCAAAATGTTAGTGTTTTCTAATGATAGTAATACTTGTATTAATATCTAATCTAAAATGCCAGTTTATTTTAATACTTTAGCTCACGTTAAGTCACAAAAAATTTTAAAAATCATTTGTTATTCATATGAAGTATCATACTATCCTGTTATCCAAGATGTTCATTAATTCTGTCCCCCATTATTAATTCCAGAAAGATAAACTATAAAGTATTTCATCAAAAGACAGATCAAACAGAGATGACCTGTTTGATCAGGTCAGAGATCACCTTCCTTAGTAGTCAGGAACACTAAATACCATCATCTACAATAACATCTTCTTAACGGGCACAGTGAAATCTACAGCTTACAAAAAATCCACATGCAAAGTATCTAAGCATTGCCACTACTTCATGGACTGTCCAATAACTACTATTTGAAAGGAAGTTCAGAAATCTAGTAGCTTACCTATATAATAAGGATCTGCCTAAGTTCTACATCATTCCAAATGGTCAACTCGTATGTACGCATGTACTAGACTAAGTGCCACATGTGTACTTGTCTACTTTACATCATGTTTCACTGGTATTAATATTACAGAGCTCATATACCACTAACAAGGTGATAGAAAAGTGAAAACAATTTTAAGCTGCAAGTTTCCAATAAATCATTTAAGTGTGACTGCATTTGTACTACCTAGAAAAGATAACTAAAACTAGAAAATACACACTACTAGAGTATTTGCAAAAACCAAAATCAGCAAAACAGCCCTGAAAAACTACATATTGACCATTAAATAAAACTCTTAAAATGCTCAGTTTTTAATCCAATATTAGCAAAAGAAATCATATGGAAAATATTAAATACTACATACTACATACCCTATATAATAATTTGCACAGACCATATTGCAGGTGGAGTCCTAGTGTGGCGCCATAGGATAAGCACTCGACCTCAATCAAGGTTGTTTTGAACCACAAGGTTGGAGGTTCAAACTCACCGGTCTCTCCTTGGAAACCCTATACAGGGTCATTATTAATCGGAACCGAACTGACGGCACTTAACAACAACAGGCTAGGGAGCTCTGATAGTGTAGTGGTTATGAATCGGGCTGCGAACCGCAAGGTCAGCAGTTCGAAATTACCAGCTGCTCCGCAGGAGAAAGATGAGGCTTCCTGCCCCTGTAAAGATTTACAACCTTAGAAACCCTGTTCAGGGTTGCTATGGGTCGGAACTGAACTGACTTGACAGCACATAACAACAACAACAGGCTATATGAATTATCAGGAGTTTGTGCATATTGAGGAGTAAAGATTTTACATAAATTTTCCCTCACTAAAAAGAAACATTACATATTAAGTGCAAGAGAAATTACTCTCATCTTTCATTACTTAAAACTGATAAATGAGACAAATATTACAAAAAATTCTGTTAAGTCCCTCCTCTAGATTATAAACTTCATGAGAGTAGAAACAGCCTTAGAAATGCGGCCATTCTTAGTCTGTCTTTTAGGGTTACTATGAGTCAGAATTGACGGGCCAGCAGTAGGTAATATCAAGTAAACATAAAAGTAAGTTGTAATTTAGTCTGCTACCAACATTTAAAAAGAAAATCTAACAGAGTCCAAGTATTAACACAAAGTTCCCTTCTTTCTCCTTAAAGGAAAGGCAAACAAAACTAATTGATTCTAAGAACGTATTAGGTTACTAAATATATATTAAAGGTATCTCCAACACATTAATATAGGAAACAATATAGTAGCAGAAGCAAAGTAAAACAGAATAGTTTAATAAGTCTCCATAGGTCTCAAATAAAATTATCAGGGACAAGACATCTTATGTGATGGGTTTCTACAACATGATGACAGTCTGTTTTCCGAGAAGAAATATTTTCAAAACACTGGTATACAAAAGCACAGGACTTCACAATGCTTCTGAAATATAAAGGTAAATGTCCTTATAAAATAAACAGTTAGGTGAGTCTTCAACAGTCAGTTTTTTATAGGTTTGTCCCATTTCCTTTGTGCCTCACAAACTAAAAAAATGTAAAGGTCATTTAAAAAAAAAAATCCTTGTCATCTAATTGATTCTAACTCATAGCAACCCTGCAGGGCAGAAGAATGTATGGCTTCTGGGAGATAACCTTTACCAAAGCATACTGCCACAGACTGCCAAGCAATTAAACCACTGTGCCACCAGGGCTCCTGTAAATGTTATGAGAAAAAGTTTCTTCTATGAAAAAGTACTTTTGTAAAATATGAAAATATTTCATAATGGCATACATTTGAATTCTGAAACCTAAAGGTAACCTCAGAATGTATCACCTTAATTGTCAATTAAAAAACAAAGGCTCTTCACTTACAAATCCTTGTGGACAGCAAATAACAAGTAGTATTTCCATCTGTGGCTTTTGGCTAAACTACATAGCTAAAAAAGTTCTCAGCTCTGTGAATTAAAATACAGATGTTAATTTGCACCTTCAAAGTCTGATTTCACCAGATGCAGGAAACTCAAGCATTGGAAGTGTTTTAAAGTCTCCCCAGGTAATTTCAATGTGCAGTAGATCTTTATTGTCAGATTATAATTTTCTCAACCATATAATGCTCCTTTCTTTTATGAAATAATGAAAACTTACTATTTTTGCTCATCCATATAATCTGTTACTTTTCATTTTCAAGAATATAACAATATTTGGTTACAAAAACAGTAACAATTCAATTCAGATCTAGAGAAGTAAAAATCATCTTGTCTCATACAAAAACTAATAATCTTGTAGCTTCATCTTTGACATTTAACTGTTCTCGTAAGAACCTTACCTCTCAGTGGAAAACAAAATAAACAAATAAACAAGAAAGACATGCACATAAAATGAACTGAATTTCCAAAATCTTGCTTTAATAACTATAAAAAAGGGGCTTCAAAAAATTCATGGAAAAATTCTACCATCTTTTAATTCAGTTTTTCCACAAACTTGTTGAAGCCCCTACTTGTTTCTTAATTGGCACTGTTTCCTAGAAATGGTAACATACAAAGTAAAACTACTGTATATGAAATGATTCCCCAGGCCTTATATGAAGACCAATTTTACTCAATAACAATGCTGTATCAATGTAATAATGTAAGTGCCAGTAAATTCTGGTCGGCCTTTTTCAATCTCAGAAAAAGCCAAAACACATTGAGATAAAATAGCCTTTTAGTCATATAACACAAAGAAATACACATTAAAAGATTAAAAATTTTAGCTCATACCAAAGATTTTAACTCAAACCTAAGATTTTAACTCTATACAAACCTTTGATATTTTAAAAATAAATCACAAGAAGGCTGTCCACATTAAAAACAGTCTACCTAGATCATACATAGGGCAGTACATAAGTAATATGGTATACAAACCACCTCTCTTTTGTGAACTAACATACACAGTTATGTCAGGATGGTCTTTTCTGTTAAGTACATGTCGATAATCACTATACAACAAATAAAGATTTAAATCAATAAAAAGAGGAGAAGACACAGTGAATATAATAAGTAAAGGGGAGAGTAAGCAGTGAAAATCCCAGTACACTCTGAAACTACATTGATACAGTTTTGTTGTACACTCATCTCCCCATGAAGCATTAAAATGAAAAAGCATGATTTTTAAAAAATTATACTTAAGAAAAACATGCATGAAAGACAAACATTTTTAAATGTATTTCTATTTTCCACCAATAGTAACTCCAAAATAGATCAAGCTTTTTTAAAACCATTTTTCTGAAGTTACAACCATCAATTACAAACAAGAAAATAGATAACGGTGTAACTAAAAATACGGTTGCTGTAAACTATTAACCAAAAGCACCAAATCCTTCTTGACTAGACAACATTAAATAATTTTCTTTGCACTTTTATTTGCTAGTATATATTTCAAAGGACTTAATTCATACCTCCATTGGTATTTGGTTTCTTTTTAAATGAAACGGTATTAACCATGTCCCACTCTGCTTCATAACTGTTCAGATGTTCCGATCCTCGATGAGCTCTTTCTTTTGGGGGCTGGGTCCATTCAACAACGGAACTGGAGTCCTAAAATAATTATAAATAAAATATTTATGGTCTTAAACTAGAATTAAATTTCAATTCATATTATCATCTTAGAGTCTATATAAATTAAGTTTGTAAGTTGAGGTAGACAACGCTAGAGGGAAAACTGAATACTATTTTCTCTACTCGTCTCCTTCACCACCTTATGAAAAAGACCAGAAAACTTTCCCAGCCTCCCTTACAGTCAGAGCTGGCATAAACATGAAGAGAAGTCAATAGTGGGTATTCTAAAAATGTTTCTGCTTTCCTTATAAAAGCCTTATTCCCTCCCCCATTTTCCACAGCTGTGATGCCTAAAAATATGCAGCTATCTTAGGACCACAACAGAAAGTCAAGAGAGCCATTGCAAATATCTCCCAAGCTCCAAACTTCTCATTATTTAAGGAAAATAGCCAGTGGTAGTGGCTAGTCACTTACATCACCATTGGCTGCATATTCTCTTATTGTCAATCAAAATCAGCCAATTAGTCAAAAAAGCTAAAAATAAAAAATTTACAGGTGGAGTTTTATAGCACTTTCAAGTTTAAAACAGAATAAAACCAAATGTCTAAAGGGTTATAATAATAATTGGTTAAATAAAAAAGCTCAACTTGTATACAACAAAAGAAAACATTAGAGAGTTAAAGATCAACAAATGGAAGAAAATGTTTCCAAAATATATGACTGATTAAGTGAAAAACTGCCAGAATTATTTAGAAATAGGCAAACATTAAAACACAAAAATAAGCATAATATGAGCAAACAATTCAGAAAACATAGACAAGCACCCAACCTCAGTAGTAATCAAAGAAGTTAAAATGAACTATCATTATATGGCCCCATCCAATTAAAAATAATTATCAAATAGAGAAGTGTGAGGAAAGAAGCAGGTTCTCTTGCACTACTGATAGTGGTGCCCTGGTGGCTTAGTGTGTTAGGCATTAGGCTGCTAACTGCAGGTCAGCAATTCGAATCCATCAGCCACTCTGCAGGAGAAACATGAAGTTTTCTGCTCCTGTCAAGATTTACACCTCAGAAACCCTATACAGGGTAGCTATGAGTCAGAACTGATTTGACAGCACACAACCATCACCACCCACCACTACCACACAACTTATCCCAGAAAAATACTCACACAAGTGTACAAAGGCACATAAAAGAATTTTCATTGCAGTATTGTAATAGTGAAAAACTAGAAATACCCTAACATCCCTCAATTGAGGAATGAACCAATAACTAAAGGACAGTCAATAAAATATACAGGATTATGGAGTACTGAGTTTCAGATTATGGTGATGAAAAAAATCACATTAAAGGTAAAGTTGTACAGTCAATTAATATAATTACTATCAATAAGCTACACCTGTAAAATGTTAACTGCGTTAAAATGTTAAATGCAAAAGTCATGTGACAGACATAGCTACAATGATAAAATTAAAAAAGAGGGTAGGTGCTGAGTTTGCTTATGCACAAACACCTTGTGGAATTTATGGGATTTGGTTCATTGGTTTGGAATTTTAGGGTCATAGTTCCATATGACATCCCAATTAAGTGGCCTAATACTATGAAAGTGAAGAGGACTTGAAATATTTACTTATGAAGATTAAAGAGCACAGCCTTCGATATGGATTGCATCTCAATGTCAAGAAAACAAAAATCCTCACCACTGGACCAATAAACAACATTCTTATCAATGGAGAAAGGATTGAAGTTGTCAAGGACTTCATTCTTCTTGGATCAACTATCAACACTCGCGGAAGTAGCAGTCAAGAGATCAGACGACGTATTGCACTGGGCAAATCTGCTGCACAGGAACTTTTTAAAGTATTGAAGAGCAGAGATGTCAGCTTGAGGACTAGGGTGCGCCTGACCCAGGCCATTGTGTTTTCAATAGCCTCATATGGATGCGAAAGCTGGACAGTGAATAAAGAGGATCGTAGAAGAATTGATGCCTTTGAGTTGTGGTGTTGGAGGAGAATACTGAGGGTGCCATGGACTGCCAAAAGAACCAATAGATCTGTTTTGGAAGAAGTGCAGCCAGAGTGCTCCTTGGAGGCCAGGATGGCTAAGCTTCGTCTCTCCTACTTTGGACATGTAGTCCGGAGGAAACAATCGTTGGAGAAGGATGTCATGCTGGGTAGGGTGGAGGGTCAGAGAAAAAGAGGAAGACCTCCAACGAGATGGATCGGCCAGGTGGCATCATTGATGGACTCGGGGGTGGCAGCGGTGGTGAGGTTGGCCCAGGATCGAACATTGTTTCGTTCTGCTGTGCATGGAGTCGCTATGAGTCGGTTCCGACTCGATGGCACCTGACAACAACAACAATACTATGTATGGTAAACTACCTCCTAGTTCATGGTATAGTGTCTAGGGTCTTAAAAGCTTGCAAGCGGCCATTCAAGACACAACCATTAGTGTCTATTTATCTGAAACAACAAAGGAAGACGGAGACTTGGAAATAAAAGAAAGAGAAAGTGTGGTAAATTGCCTCCAAGAACAACTGCCTCCTTGGATGAGATCAGAATTGGCTGTTGCCTGGCTATCATTACCAAACATTTTTTATCTAAGATTCTATAGAGGAATCTTGATCCAAAGGAATAAAATGAAGTAGAAAAGTTCAAATTATTATAGTCTCCAGACATTCTGGAGCCATAGTGGTGATGGTGTGCTTCCAATTCCCAGCGACTCAGTATAAACATTCCAAGGCTGTACATATTTACAGGAGCAGAAAGCCTCATCTTTCTCCCTTGGAGTGCCTGAGCTGCTGACCTTATGAATTAGCAGCCCAACATGTAACCCACTATGCTACCAGAAGAACTCTGGATAAACCCGAGACCATGTTATTGTTTTTGTTAAGTGCCATCAAGTTGGTTCCGACTCATAGCAAACCTGTTTCAAGTTCCCAAGGAGTGGCTGGTGAAACCAAAACTGTCCCATGAAGTCTTATTAAAACCAAGTAACAGTTTTAAATCCTCACAACTGGACCAATAAATAGCACCATAATAAAAGGAGAAAACATTGAAATAGTCAAAGACTTCATTTTGCTTGTATCCACTATCAACAATCATGCAAGCAAGAAATCAAAAAATATATTGCATTAGGCAGATCTGTGGCATAAGACCTCTTTAAAGTGTTAAGAACAAAGATATCAGTATGAGAACTAAGATGAGCCTGACCCAAGTCATGGTATTTTCAACAGCCTCATATGTATGTGAAAGTTGGATAATGAATAAGGAAGACCACAGAAGAACTGATGCATTTGAGTTATAGTGGTAGAGAAGAATTCTGAAAGTACCATGGACTTCCAGGAGAACTAAAAATCTGTGTTGGAAGTATAGCCAGAATGCTCCTTAATAAGCCAGGATGACAAAACTTTGTCACTCATACTTCAGACATATTATCAGGAGGGGCTAATCCCTGGAGAAGGACATCACGTTTGGTAAAGTGGAGGCTCAGTAAAAAACAGGAAGGCCCCCAATAGGGTGGACTGGCACAGTGGCAGCAGCAATGGGCTCAATAATAACCATTGTAAGGATGGCATAGGACCAGACACTGTTCCATTCTGTTGCACATAGGGTTGCTATGAGTCAGAACCAACTGGACAGCACCAAACAACAATGGCAACTAATAAAGAATATCTGCCTTAAGCATTTACTCTTTTCAAATCTATCCATATGGGATCAAATTCACAACAGCAACACAACAGATAGTAAACTTAGCTCACGTTACTGGAGGAACTACTCAGAAAGAATGAGAATGCTTACATAACTAGAAGAATGTAATCAGTGTTACTGAATTGCACATGCAGAGACTACTGAATTGATAAATATTCTGCGGTGTGTATTCTAACTCCAACAAAATAAATTAAAAAAAAAAAATACTACACAATCGTTTTAGGACTGGTATATATTCATTGTTGTTGTTGTTAAGTGCCGTTGAGTTGATTCCAACCCATAGCGACCCTGTATAGGGTTTCCAAGGAGCAGCTAGTGAGCTTGAACTACCGACTTTGCAGTTCAAACGACTTTGCAGTCCGAAGCATTAGCCCACAGTGTCACACCAGGACTCCATATATATTCATAATCAAAGGTAATGAGTGCATAATAGTAAAACAAAAAGATTTGCAAACTGTTTTGCTGCAACAGGAAAATATTGTAAAGGCCTAAGAAGTAAGAAATGGAAATAAACTGAAAAACAGAGGAAAGAAAGAAATAGATAAAATTATTAAGCGGAATGCTTTTTCTCCCAGGTCCTTACTCAAATGAAATTTTCTCAAGAAACCCTCCTTGATTACCCAATTTAAAAAACACCACAACCACCACGATCCATACAAATAACACTTAGCATTCTCTTACCCACTTTATTTTTCTCCATAGCATCTCCATAGCATTTGACAAAATGCCTATTTTACCTGTTTGAGCCTATCTCCCCTGCATCCATCCATTAATACATAAGCTGAGCAGGAGCAGGGCTTTCTTCTTGTTCAAAGCTGTATTCCTACAACCATAGCAAGCATTCCAGTCTTTGCTGAATGAGTGAAGTACACAATCTAGATTAAAATAAAGCATCTTAAGTCCAGTTTAGAAATGCCAAATAAAACACATTACCTCTGTTCCCTTTTGAATATTATATACACACACCCCCCCAAAAAAGACAACAGGACGGGGGGAGGGGAGGCAGCATGCGGGCAGGATGAAAACAAGGAAGCTGATAGTTTACACCTGAGAAAACTCAATCCTAGACCAGTAGTGAGAAAAGCTGAGAAACATCCACAGAACCCCCTCCCATCCAAAGGATATGAATTGGTAGATAAGAAAGTTCTGAAAATGAAAGATAAAAATCAGGCTGAAAAGAGGTCAACAAGCAAAAATTCGTAGAGTTATGACTTATTCATTAGGGGTTAAAGCAGAGTAACTATGAATTAGAGAAACCATCATTCTGAGCAGAGAGATACTGCACTAAAAGTAAAACCATAATAAAATTGGTGACATTCCAGCCTCTACTCAGCTCTCAGAACACTGACATCTAGGTTTGCCCTCTACCAGCAAGAATGTGCTTCTCTGGCAAATGTAACTCACCCAAGAGAAAAGCCTTAAGATTCTGAAATCAGAGATTCCTTCAGAAAAGAGTCTAACCAGAACACTCTTTAAGAGTCCGACTATTAGCATGCCTACTCATCCTACAGAGTACAATCATAGTTTTGTGTCTGTTGTTAAAAATGAGCACCATGTCACAAAAATCACCAAACATCAAAGACAAATATCTACACAAAAGACAGAGTCCAAATGAAACAAGGAAGGAAAAAAGGCAAGCTAGATGACATGGACAATACAGAGAGATGAAGGCTTTCAAAATGTTCTCACTAAAATCAGAAATAAGAAAAGATACTTCATCCAAGACGAAAATGATGCTTAAAAAAAAAGTGGGGTCCCCTCAGAGCAAACCACCTTCCAAGACTAAGACTCAATGGGAATAGACGGCTCTGATTGGTGACCACATATGTTACCAATAAGGGGAAGTGAGGGAAAAACAACAATGAAGTGGTAAGCTAAGCTATACAACGTTCAATAGACTCCTGTGAACCCAGGTGGGTACCTGGTTGGCCAGCAGTGTGGCAAGACCTGGGGACTCTTGGGCCCAGAGTCAGTGACATAGCCAAAGGACTAGAGTGGAGAGTGAAGCGTCCAGCTGATTAAGAAGGGAAGGCATATGCACAAGAACACCCACACTTGCAGATAATACCCACTTGACCTGGCTTCTTCAATGACTGGATGATCAGAGCTCAACTAGAAGACGAGGAAAAATCTGATACAATTTGATGAACTTGACCTACACCTATGGATGCAATAGCTCAAAAGAGGGAACAAATCTTTACAGCAAGGATCATTCCTACCCCTCCATACACAGAGTAGACAGGGATGGGCAACTTAGACATTGGCTACCCAAAATGGGGGGTGGGGGTGGGGGGAGCACAAAGGCAAGAAGTGACTGGCTTTCAAGATCCAGAGGGCGTGGAGGAAGGTAGAATCTCCACTGAGCAGTATCCAATCTGTTTAGGCGGGGCTGATAAAAGGAAATGTGGATAGGTCTCTTGTGATACAATAGTAAATAATTGTAATCAGGACTGCTTGTGAGGGTTGGAAATGTAAAGGTAGACATTTTGTAGCAAGGAGGAGAGTGATTAACTTTGCAGGCCAGAAGTGGAACTACCTGGGACCATCAAGGGAGAAAAGCAGAGCGCGGGACGCTACCCAGAGAACCAGTGATGCCTGAGATGAAGTGGAGAGATGGAGCAGCTGGGGACTTTAAACCCAGAGAGGGAGAGTGGCTGTGTGCTGACGACAGGGGAAGGGGGCAGGCTTATAGGGTATATACCCTTTGGTTGGTTGATGATGCATAGAGGGAACTGTAACATGGCAATGAAACAATATATGATAGAATGAATGTAAAACTAACGTTCTCCCATGTAAACTATCACATAATTCACAATAAAACATTTAAAAAGGGGCGGGGGGGGGACAATGACACATAACAATAAAGATGTCTGAGAAATTAAAAATTAACAACAATAACATATATAGTAAATGTGCCATCTCAGAAGGAAAGCGAATCTCATTACCATCAAAGAAGGGCCAGGAGTGAAGCAAATCCTTTGGGTCCTGAGATTCCTTTGCAATGAACCTCCTCAACCCAGGGACAGAAAGTTGTGCCACTGGAGAAATGGTAGAGCAGCAGCAGAGCCAAAAGCCAAAGCACAAGACAGGGCAGTGGCCTTCTCAACCCAAAGAGCAAATAAAGTTGAATAACTCTGGGCAGGAGGCTTGCTTGTAAAGTGGGGTGCCTCAATAAACTTAAGTGTGAGAACTAGGTTTGCTGACTCATGGACCTAGAGCAAATCAAGCTGAGGCTTATGGTAGAGCACTGTGCCCTATGGGCATTTATCAGCAACCCCAAAAGAGCTCTGTAACAAGAGACTGGGAAGAGAGAGTCCTGCAGGTGGACTCTGTCAAGTAGAGGCTGTTCTGATTGAAACAACTGTGCTCTAACCGTTTCTGACACTGCATTGTAACCTGTTAGCTTCCCTAATAAATTTCATAATAATGGATTACTGAACCCAGATGTGATAATAGAGAGGGTTCCGGGAGGGAAGATTTGGTGCCACATTTTTGCATTCACAAGGGATTTGTATCCAAAATAAAGAACTCTTACATCTCAATAGTCACTGGAGAAGGATATCATGTTTGGTAAGGTGGAGGGTCAGAGGAAAAGAGGAAGACCCCGAGTGAGATGGATTGGCAAAGTGGCTGCATCAATGGGCTCAAGCATGGCAAAAATTGTGAGGATGGCCCAGGACCGGGCAATGTTTCATTCTGTTGTACACAGGTTTGTTATGAGTCAGTACCTACTCAATGGCACCTAACAACAACATCTCAATAATAAATACAAATAATCAAATGAGCAAAGGAAGGGAATCAGCATTTCTCCAAAGATTTACAAATGGGCAATAAGCACACGAAAAAAATGTTCAACGTTTTAAGTCATGATGGAAATGCAAATCAAACCCACAATGAGATAACACTTCATACCCACAAAGTCAATTAAAATAACAAGGACAAAAACAAATACTGGCGAAAATGTGGAGAAACTGGAACCCTCAAACATTGCTGGTGGCATTGTAAAATGGTGCAGCAGTTTTGGAAAAAGCTTTGGTGGTTTCCTAAATGTTAAACATAGAGCAACATGTTGTTGTTGTTGTTATGTGCCGTGGAGTCGTTTCTGACTCACAGCGACCCTTACAGGGTTTCTGAGGCTGTAAATCTTTACGGGAGCAGAAAGCCTCATCTTTCACCCGCAGAACAGCTGGTAGTTTAGAACCGCTGACCTTGCAGTTCACAGCCCGATTCGTAACCACTACGTAAGCAGTGGTTGCTCCTTATAGAGCAACATATTGCCCAGCAACTCCACTCCTAGGCATACCCAAGAGAAATGAAAACACAAAACCTTGTACATGAATGTACAGCAACATTCACAATAGTCCAAAAGTGAAAAAAACAAAACAAAAACAAATGTTCAGCAGCAACTTATTAATGGATAAACAAAATGTGACAAATCCACAATTGGAATATCATTCAGGAATAAAACAAAGCACTGATACACACTATTGTTTAGTGCCATACAGTTGGTTCTGACTCATAGTGACCCTTTATTAGGGTTTCCGAGAAGCTGCTGGTGAGATTGAACTACCGGCCTTGCAGTTCAAACCAACCTTGCAGCCCAGTGTTTATCTTAAAGCACCACCCCCATTAATGGAATTTTGAAAACATGCTAAGTGAAAGAAGTCAGCCATAAAATAATGTATATCATTTCACTTATATGAAATGTACAGAACAGGCAAACCCTTTAAGACACAGAAAGTAGAATGTTGTTGTTGTTAAGTGCCATTGAGTCAATTCCAACCCATAGTAACACTGTATAGGGTTTACAAGGAGCAGCTGGTGAGCTTGAACCTTGTGGTTCAGAGTGAATTTGCACTCCAACGGGTGGCACATATCAGGACTCCAGAAAACAGATTAGTAGTTGCAAACGATAGGGCTGGGGGTGGGAATGAAGAGTGACCTCTAATGGGTACAGAGCTGCTTTTTAAGAGGAACGAAAATGTTTTAAATTAGATGTCAATGATGACTGCACAACTCTGTAAATACACTAATCTTACACTGAATTGTATAATTAAAAGGAGTAGATATTATTGAATGTGAATTATATTTCAATAAAACCAAACTAAGCCCAACCCACTATCATTAAGACAATTCTGAAGCACAGCAACCCTTTAGGATAGAAAAGAACTGCTCCATAGGGTTTCTGAGGCTGTAAATCTTTATGGAAGCAGACTGCTAAATCCTTTTCCGATGAGTGGGTGGTAAATTCAAACCGCCGATCTTTCATGTAAACAGCCCAATACCTAACCCACTGTCATTTTTTAAATGGCATTCCAATGGTCACATTTTTTTTCTTAAATACCTTTCCAGCATAGAGAATACTAGAAGAATCATATGCATCATCTAATGGTCTCCAGTCCACTATTACTTCAGAATCCTAGAGAAAAAAAAATTATGAACCATATTTAGTATTCATAATATCTTACATTCTTAGTCACATTTCAATTCCCTAAACCCAAAATAAAATTTCAAAACATTAATTATTAGCACTTTAAAAAATCCTATGTAGGGGAAGAGAGAGTCCTCCCCACTGAATAGTTTTCAACGTATCTACTACATAGGTCCAGAAAAAAGATACGGGGATAAGATTCTTATGATTCAATAGTGAATAACTGTTATCATGACAAACTGTGAATGTCACAACTGTAAAGGTAGACGTTTTGTAACAACAAGGGAGTAATCTTACAGGACCATCAAGGGAGAAGAGCACAAGCAGAATGCAGGACCCTATCCAGAGAAAAAGCAACACCAGAAACGGAGGCAGAGAAGGGGACATGGAAAGGGGGAGCACCTGAGGACTCTAGATTCATGGAAAGAGATGGACTGAGTGCTGGTGGCCAAGAGTCGGGCTTGTAGAATGTACCCTTTGGTTATTTACATTATTATATTTTTCTGAGTGTTTTTGTGTCTATCCCCTCAATACCCCCCACTCCCCCCAAGAAAAAAACCACAGAGAAAATGGAAACAAATACTGTTGAATGATAATGCACAAAGGAGATTTTAATCACTGCAATGAAACAATGGTGTAAAGGGTACTCCCATATAAAGTATCACTCAGTTCACAATAAAACAAAACAAAAATCCTATGTTAACCAGTTTTATGACAAATGTCATATACGTTTTTAATTATTATATGCTTTTCATTATTATAAAATTACACGAATTATCTTATAGAATAAGTTTTAAAATATTTCATTCCATTTTACTCATTTTTTCAAAATATTTTATTTCAAAGTCATTCCATTTCAATTTAATACCACTGCTCAATTATAAAATTTTATCTCACAGATGAAATTCAAACTTCCTGATAATAACCCAAACATGAACCACTACCATAAACATTTATTAAATGAAACCATTTACAAGAAACATACCTTTTCTAAAACACGTAATATTCCTGAAATGAAACTATCGTGGTCGTTGGTCTTTCCACAAGATGAGTGAATATACACCCCTTCTTGTTCATATATAACCTGGAACAGTAAAAATAAGATTCATCAAGCAATTTTTATTCAGTACTATTTCTATCTTTCTGATATTATTACATTATATTTAGCTATAATGTCTGGTCAAGTTTCTGGTTATTTCATATACAAATGTATTATTTTATCGACAACACTCACTAAAGAACATTTCAAATAAAGATAAACTGGAAAGAGTTTGCTGTGTTAATCAGGGAAGTTTCTTTTTCTAATTTTTAGTGATGACCACAAGCTTGACCTTACCCATAAACAAAAATGTTGAGTTAATTGCTATTTATCTTAATATACAAATTCCACTTCAAGTTTGTATTTTTTATGGCACTGGAGGATAAGCACTGGACCGTAAGATCAATTTGAACCACAGCTTGGTAGTTCAAATCCATCAGCCTTTTCACAATAACCTTATATTGCTGTTGGTGGTGTTGTTAAGTGCCATCGAGTCAGTTTCAATCCACAGCGACCCTGTATAGGGTTTCCGAGGAGCAGCTGGTGAGCTTGAACCTCCGACCTTGCAGTTCAAACGGCTTTGCAGTTTGACGCATTAACCCACAGCACCACACCAGGACTCCTAAATAGGGTCACTATAAGTAGGAACTGACTCGAGGGCACTTAACAACAACCATAAGCAAAATATTTGGTTTAACATTGAAAATGAAGATAGCTAAGTGTGATTTTCTGCATCTGAATTTTGTTTTATAACAAAGAAGTTTAAAATTACCAATGATAAATACAAAGGAGTCCTGGTGTGACCGTGCAGGATAAGCAATGGACTGCTACCTGCAAAGTCAGCAGCTCAAACCCATCAGCCACTTCTCAGAAACCCTATACTATTGTTGTTGTACCCTGTACACAGTCGCTATGAGTCAGAATAAACTTGATGGCACTTAACAACAACAAACACAAAATATGAAGTTTTAAACCAAGTCTCTAGGATGTTGAATAGAAATTAAATTCTCAGATATAAATCATGTCACTAGATTAAAAATTGAAGGATATACCTTGAGGGGAAAAAAAGGAAGAAGGACAAAGCAAGCAGATTTGAGGTATAACACCAGTTAACACTAAGTATACCTGCAAAATCAATGAGAGCAAAGAATGCAATTGTGGGAATACGTACAGGCTCCCACTAAAATATGGAGAGGGGCCAGCGATCATTTCAAATAAATTACAACAGGTAAAAAACCACTTTTGAATGTGATGATGACCTACTGAAACCCAAACATCTGTTAATTGATTCTAGAACTACATGTTGCTGTTAAGTGCCATGGAGTCGGTTCCGACTCAAAGCAACCCTGTATAGGGTTTCCCAGAAGAGGCTGGTGGGTTTGAACCACCTAGTTTGTGAAGCTGAAAAAAATGAAAGCAAGTCCACGATGGCCAATATATGACTTTGAATACATCCCACCTGAATTTAGAGTTCATCTGAAGAACACTAAAGACCGAAGACCAGAAGAGTTGTGGGATGACAACAAAAACATCATACAGGAAGAAAGCAAAAAGTCATTAAGAAGACAAGAAAGAAGGAAAAGGTCAAAATGGATGTCAGAAGAGACCCTGAAACTTGCTCTCTAGTGTAGAGATGGTAAAGCAAATGGAAGAAATGAGGAGGTCCAAGAGATGAGCAGAAAATTTCTAAGGTCAGCTCGAGGAGACAAAGTCAAATATTACAATGAAATGTGCAAAGAGCTGGAGTCAGAAATCCAAAAAGGAAGAACACGCTCAGCATTTCTCAAGCTGGGGGAACTAAAGAAAAAATTCAAGCCTGGACTTTTGTTATTGAAGGGTTCTCTGGGCAAATTACTGAATGATGCAGAAAGCATTAAGAGACAATGGAAGGAATACAGAGAGTCATTGTACCAAAAGGAAATGGCTGATGTTCAAATGTTTCAAGAGGTAGCATATGATCAAGAGCCAATGATACTGAAGGAAGAAGTCTAAGGTGCATTGAAGGAACTGGCAAAGTACAAGGCACCAGGAATTGATGGAATAAAAATTGAAATCTTTCAAGAACGTGAGGTGGCACTGGAGGCACTCATCTATGCCAAGAAATCTGGAAGACAACTACTTGGCCAACTGACTGGAAGAGATCTGTATTTGTGTCCATTCCAAAGAGCGGTGACCCAATGGAATGCAGAAGTGATCGGACACTATCTTTACTATCTCATGCAAGTAAAGTTTTACTAAAGGTAATACAGAAACAGCAGCAAGCATACATTGACAGAGAACACCCAGAGGTTCAAGCTGGATTCAGAAGAGGCCGTGGAATGAGGGATATCATTGCTGATGTCAGATGACTCTTGGCTGAAAACAGAATCCCATAAAGATTGTTTACCTGTGCTTTACTGACTACACAAAGGCTTTCTATTGTGTGGATCACGACAAGCTATGGACAACTTTGCAAATTATAAGTATTCTGGGACACTTAATAGGGCTCATGAGAAATCTGTACATGGGCCAAAAGGCAGATGTTCAAACAGAACATGGGAACACTGAATGATTTAAAATTAAGAAAGGTGTGCAACAGGGTTGTATTCTTTCACCATACTTATTCAACCTGTACGCTGAGCAAATAATCCAAGAAGCTAGGTTATATGAAGAAAAATGTGGCATCACGATTGGAGGTAGACTCATTAACAACCTGTGATATGCAGATGATACAACCTTGCTTGCTGAAAGTGAAGAGGACTTAAAATATTTACTGATGAAGATCAAAGAGCACAGCCTTCAGTATAGATTGCATCTCAATGTAATGAAAAGAAAAGTTCTCATCAACAGAGCAAAGACAGAAACTGTCAAGGACTTCAGTCTGCTTAGATCAACTATCAACACTCATGAAAGCAACAGTCAAGAAATCAAAGGATATACTGCATTAGTTAAATCTGCTGCACAAGACCTTTTTAAAATGCTGAAGAGCAATGATGTTAGCTTGACGACTATGGTGTGCCTAACCCAAGCCATGGAATTTTCAATAACCTCATATGGATGCGAAAGCTGGACAATGAATAAGGAAGACCATAGAAGAGTTGATGTTTTTGAGTTATGGTGTTGGAGGAGAATATTGAAAGTGCCATGCGCTGCCAAAAGAACAAACAGATCTGTGTTGGAAGAAGTGCAGCCAGCGTGCTCCCTGGAGGCCAGGATGGCCAAACTTCATCTTTCATACTTCGGGCAAGAGGGGTGAAGTCACTGGAGAAGGATATCATGTTTGGTAAGGTGGAGGGTCAGAGAAAAAGAGGAAGACCCCCAGTGAGATGAACTGGCAAAGTGGCAGCATCAATGGACTCAAGCGTGTCAACAATTGTGAGTTGGCCCAGAACCAGTCAATGTTTCGCTCTGTTGTGCATAGGGTCGTTATGAGTTGGTACCGACTCAATGGAACATAACAAGAACAAAAACAACCTTGTGGTTGGCAGTCTAGTGCTTATTCTACACAGTCATACAGGGTATTTTATAAGCATCTGATAAAATTTTTATTGATTGTCTTGCTTACAGCGTCACTTCTCAGAAGATACAGGAAACAGACTTAATGCACACCAACAAAAAAATAAATGGCTATTAACAAAAACTATGGGAGAAAGCAGACCATCTTTGAGTTTATAACACCCAAGAAAACACATCTGGAACACAATCAAACTTTTAGACTAGGCTTGAGAGAAAAATAGATGTATATGAGGGGGCAACCAAAAGTTTGTGACATCCTGGTGTGATGCTGTAGGGTAAGTATTAACTGCTAACAGCAAAACTGGTGATTCAAACCCACCAGCCACTCCTCAGAAACCCTATGCAAGATCACTAAGAGTCAGAACAGGCTCAACGGCACTTAACAACAGCAACCCAAAGTTTGTGAAAAAATTCCATTATCTTCTCATTCTATTTTTCCACAAACTATTTAAAGCCCCCTTGTAGACTATGTATTATTCCAACCAAAAACAGAAAAAATATTCCTACATAACCACTTCTACTTCAAGCCAAGATGAAGTAAAGGAAACTAATTTACCATACAGCATCGTTTCAACTATTCAGAGCAGAAAATCTCATAATTCATGGTACACTGGGTAGAGCATTCACAATGGTCTTGCCCTAAGCAGCAGGGCAAAATTAATACAGCAAATGCTGTGCCAATACAATCTAGCCACATTTTAAAGCAACACTAAAAATGTCAAATTGTTTCCAAGTAACTTTAGCAACTGACTCTGTAGGATAAGTACTAGACTGGTAATGGCAGTTCAAACCCACCAACCACTCTCAAAAACCCTATACAGTATCCTTATGAGTCAGCACTGACTCAACATCACACATCAACAAAGAATAATCTCAAGAATATTTTATAGGAATATGAAAACAAGGGAATAATCAGTGTCTGGTATACAATAAAAAAACAATTACTCAGGCATAAAAACAAAAAAATAGGACAAGGAGAGAAAAAAATCAATAAAAAATGAACCCAACATGACAAAAACATTAAAATTTATAGACAATGATATTAAATTATCACTAGAGCTGTATTCCATGTGTTCAAAAAACTAGAGAAAAGTTAGAACTTATTAAGAGGAGACCAAAAAAATACTAAAAAGTTCCCATTGAACTTCTAGAGATGAAAACTACAATGTTAACATGAAAAGTACACTGGGTGGGATAAATGGTAGATTAGATATTGCAGAAGCCTGATGACCTTGAAGTCTTACCAACAGCAAAGATCCAAATCAAACAGGTCAGCAGTAGGGGCATGCCAGGGGGGACAAACAGAGAACAGGGTACCAATGAGCTACAGGAAAACTTCAAGTGGCCCAGTATATGTACCATCTGAAGTTCCTAAAGGAGATGATGGAATAGAGAAACACACAAAATAACTTTTGATGAAAATTTCCATATTTGATGACGATTACTAAGCTACAACGAATTCCTAGTGGTACAATGGTTAAGTATTCAACAAAAAAGAAAAAGATTATTTCAAGAAACATATAAGCAAGGCTGGGAACACTCACTCATCG